TCTCACACAGACCTCCACCCAGTGAATTAATTGCTGATTGAGAAATGAGTAAACCAGCCTATCAAGCATCTTCGGTGGCTCCTGGACTTGGTTGAGGTGATACGTGATATGCCGACATGCATAACGGAACTGTTCTGACAGCGTCTCTTGAGGAATGGGCGGTAGCTTAGCTTTTTCCGCCAAACCCTCGACCAGCTCCAAGTTCTTCATAGAAGAAAGACTCGTATTCAAAATTTCGATGCAGCGCAGGGTTAATCTGGTGTTTTCCTTCCTCGCATCTGGCACGAGATGACGGAGTGTAGGTGGTTGCATATTGGTCCGGTTCACGAGAAACTCCCAAAGGGATTGATGCAAAATACGAATCGGCGTGTCGGGATGCTCAACACCCAAGACGAGGGGTGCAAGTTCAGCCAATGTATGTTGGATGTTCGATTCCAGCAGTGGCGAAAGAACAGCGTCCCACGCTGCAATGGATAGTGGCTGCTGTGCGATTAAGATCGCTCCCATCACAATTGGGTAATCATGCACAAAACCGGCATCCCCCCAATTACACTTCTCCAGAATCCGCGTATACACACTATCCATCACCTCCCCAGCAGAAGCCATTGGTTGGTCCACACCGGCATCAAGCAATTCCTCCAACAACTTCATAGAAGCACCACTAGCCACCCTCAAGTAGCGGAACACGGCACTAATCCAAATGAACAACCCCCCGGCTCGTTCCAACAGGTCTCGGGCCAATTTATTCTCGTCCTTGGGTGCAGCTTTCATACGAGGACGCTCATTCTTCAGTTTGCGCAGCTGCGCACGGATGTAGATCTTGCAGTCCCGCCTGTTAGCATCATCCGAAAGATTAATGCTGAGGCGATCGACAGAGAAAAAACGTGAGAGATAACGATCAACAAGGTCAAATCGCCTCGAAGTCACGAAGAATTTGATGTTGGAGGGTAATTTGGGCACCTGTTCCCAAAGTATGTCGGCAAGGTGTCCGACCATTTGTTTCTCGCATTCGTCTAGAGCATCAATGACGATCACCACAGGACGGTTGGGAAGCGATGCCTTCAGACAGAGGGGCTCGGCCAGTAACTTCTTGAATTGCGTTGTGAATGGAGCCGTTGTGAGGGTTGGATCTTTCTGGATGACGGACACGATGTAAGATCGATATGCTGGGTCGTGCGTCGCCAGTGATCGAGCCACGCCGCTGAACAAATGGTCCGGCTGCGACTGCTCTCCCACCTTGAAAAAGAAGCTCAATAACAATATCCCTTCTCTCGCACACTCCTCCACGATCGAGTGTGCAACAGATGTTTTGCCCGCACCGGCCACGGCCGTTAGTAGCAACATACGTTTCTCGCTGTCTTCTGCGTTACGACACCAGGCCATAATGCGCTCGATCAAACCAGTCCTGGTGCCTTCCAGGCACGCCTCGGTGGAATCGTGATGGGCAACGATAGGATATTTGAGTTCGTCCAGAACCGAGGAATTGTCTACTCCACGAATGGACCGATCTTGATTACCCGCTATTGTGCCAAATATCAGGTCTGTCCCCAGCTGCATGGTTACGATAATAAGATTAAAATGGCAACATAAGCGCAAGGATTGAGCATAATTTCCTGGAACAATGCCAAAACCTCGTTAAAATCTTTCTCTAAATCACCGATCTTGCTTGGGCTTTTCAGATGAGAGAAGAAGTTACGGACGCTGGACCTCCTTTCCATCTTTCCACGCAGCTGACCAACTTCCGTTTGAATGCGCTGCAATACCCTATGAAGTACCTGTGTCATACAACGGCAAGGGCCTACCTAGAGCAAATGCTACGTACTGGTTCAGTTTTGTGACATTCTCCACCCACGGCGTCGCCTCTTCGCCGGACGCATTATATGAATCGATGGCTGCCACGGCGCCTGCGACATATTCCCCAAAACGCTCCCATTCTTCCTTATTCTCCTTGAACTCCTACCATTGCAAGCATCAACATTCATTCCTAACTCAGTACAAGTCACTGCTGACTTTAACTTCATTGAGGATAAAGAGTGCGGCATCGGTGGCTGCTTGCAAGGGAGGGAGTACACCTGACGCAGCATTGACTGCGGTGAGAACTGGTACTACGACATCACCACCCGTCGCAAGAGGGTCGTGAATCCTTTGCTTCAGCGACATGGTGGATGATGATGATGATGATAAATGGGGGTGGGCAAGCGAAGCTTGCCCACGGGACTGCTTATGTAAGCTAGACTGGCCGCAGAGCAGCATGTGGAAGTATAGTTTTATAACTCATCACAAATGTCTCATGCAACAAAAAGTTGAATCAAAAGTTACTTGGAATTGTAAAAGCTGATAATTGGACTGAGGAATTGTAAAAAAAATGAGTTCTCATGGCTCTACAACCGTTCTCGACAACCAGCGCGTTTTATAAAAATCCAACAGTCCGAATTATAGAAAAAAACCCTCTACACATCCAGGAGAATTTCTACATGCTTAGCTGCTGTGTGACGAGCCTGAAATTGTTGGGTGATCATTTGTTTATTCGTGTGTATGTCGTCGCACTCAATAGTGCATTCTGGAGATGCCTGGGGCACACCTCAGCTCAATTGATGCTCTTCTGACTTTAGAACAACTTCCTACCATGCTCCTTATACCCTTTTACATTTTCAGCGATTGGTATTAGTATTACGGAAAATTCGTTGCATACAAAACAATCAAAATCAACTGCCCATTTAATTCATTGGCGATCTATAGCTGTAACAACACTGAGGGCTTCATAGGGCAAATTTCAGTGAAGCCCATCATCCATTCCTCAGGAAGGAAGCTCGGCATCGAGGACACACAGAATCTTGAGAGGAAACTATGGACAAAGTTGAGGCAGCAAAAGCCGCTGTCAGCCGTGAAGCCCAGAAGGCATGAGATGAGAAGAAGAGAGTGGAGGAGGAGAAACTAGAGTGTACTATACTCCAGTTGGGTGCTACAGTGATTGCTGCAATGACGGGGGAAAAGCTAATTGAACAGATCAACAAGCTCATTGGCTGGCCCCTAAGGACACCTTTATTCTATTGAACAGCAGTCAATAAGGTACGAGTTGGGCCCCGGAAGGCACTACTCCAAGATATTGTAAAACGCTATAATGCACGATCTGTAGAGTCGCCAGGATCTGCTATCTGAGGTACCATAACTGGTCTGTTTACATGCTCATTTTATAATGCATGGATTTTTCTGATTGAGCGCTCAGTACATACTTTACATTGTATATTCACACTCTCTAGGTTTTTGTTGGGACTTGGAATACAGTTTCACGAGTTATCGATGGAACATTTGCGAGGCCATGTTTTGCCCAAATCTGATTACATAAGCGGTACACGGACACAACCTGAGTTGCCCAGTGTGTGTGTGTGTGTGTAATTCTCGATATTTTACTTCCCATAGAGGCTGCCTGTTAGGGCGCCAAGGGGAAGGGGCGAGGCCCAAGGCATATTATCATACATGGGTCTATACTCAAGTTCCACATGATTCTAAGCTCCCGGATAACACCAACATCGTTCGCCAATGCCCGGATTCGTGACTGAACAATCCAAATTCTTCTGAATTGTGACAGTGGTAGACCGTATCACATGAGCCTATTATGCTGCGAGTGATTCCCTATAGAACGTCTGGGTCCATGCCAATTGAACTCCTAACTCCTGGCCAGTTGTGCCCATGAGAGGCCCCTTTCGGGTAGTGAATAGAAGACTTAGTCATATGATATGAACCTTTTCTATACTCAATGTAATCGGTAGTGGAGAAGTTGGTGATCAAGTGATCATGAGACCGGCTCCTCGGCTTGTTGGCCCAACGCATAAACACGTGCCTCTTGAGACTTTGGAGAACCGCGACCTCCCAACAGGTGAGTCGAACCAATGTCCTCTCAATCGGCAAACACCAGCGAGAGAGTAGATTGGCGGGTGTTACCACTACACCACCACTCCTCCCCTGAGTTGCCCAGTCCCATGATAAATCTATCTTATTACCCCGTGGCCTCGTGATGACGTGGCAGTGCGGCTATCCCATCCTAACACTGTAGCGTACATGGGGGAATGTCTCTACAATGATGGGTATTCTGGTTGGTGAGATCAGGTGTTAATGTTCCTCGGGTTTTGTGATGTCTGTGTGTATTGTCGTGGTGTTGATAATGAGAAATAAGAAAAAGAAATTAGAAATTAGAAATGGGGTTACGGTCCTCCGTCTGTCCCCTGGGTCTCCTGCTCTGCTTCATCTGCTGTGTGAGTCGGTCAGCCATGGGTGGTGTTCCTTGCGGTATGTCTGCTGTCGTCGGCTTTTCGCTACACCTTTCACCTTGCCCATGAGGGTGTTAAACTTCGTCTGGTTCCCGCATCCTAGTAGGTGTCTGTGCCTACTCATCTGGGGGCACTCAGTGAGAATATGGGTCCTCGTTTGTGTTGGTTTCCCGCATTGGCAAGCTCTGCTCTCCATTGTGATGCCAAAGCGGTGGTAGTACTCGCCAGTGTGTGTGTGTCCTGTTCGGAATTGGAGAACTCGACTGAAGGTTTTCCTGTCAAGTTTGCTGAACCGTTTGGTGGGTCTGAGCTTCGGTGCGAGCTGGTTCGCTGCATAGAAGCCCGACCTCGGAGGGTTCGGTGTGTTCATCCAGCGGTGGGTCCAGGCTTCTGCCATCTCTCTCTTGCGTAGACTTTCTACATATGAGAGGGATTTGAAGTTGGGCCGGGCTGGTCTGTGGGCACCTTCCTTTGCTAGTTGGTCAGCTTTCTCATTTCCCGGTATGCCGAGGTGGCCTGGGCAACCAGTGCAGTGCAATCTTCATTTCCTCGAAGTCGGTTAGGACCTTGCATACTGTTAGAATGGGGCGGAAACGGACAACTCCGGAGTGGAATCGGAGACTTAGCGTGGAGGGACCTTGGCCTCAGCGACTCAAGCGGAGCGCTGTGCCATTGCTGTTTGTCCATTTGGTCCTTAATTTCACAGTAGGTGAGCAGGAAGTCTCTAGGGGGCATTTCAGGTCGCTTTCGGACTAAACCAAAACGAGTATGTACAAGCACCGATATATATAATGGAAGGGGCAAAAGCACAAGGAAAACAAAGGGTAACCGAATCGGAGTGAAGACGTCCGAACGGGAACAAAGGGTAGAAGGAGCGGATAGGTACCGAAGGTCATAAGGCAGGACCTGTGATACATCCGAAAGGAGATAGGGAGGGCGAGCCCCAGAGGGGCAGGAGGATGAGGGGAAGTGGGGATGATGACTAACTGGCTAGAATAGAAAGAAGCAGTAGTCCAAATAGGGGTGAAGGGGAAACGCGAGGAATACATTACAGGCGGCGAGAGTGCTGAAGGCGGTCCGCGAAGCTCGGGGGTTGCGGAGGTTACGGAGGTTACGGAGGCGGGGTTGGAAGTCCGAGGAATATTGGCAATGGTGTTTACGTAGTATGAGGCCACCAATGCAATGGACTAAGGCTGAGGTGGAGTCAAAGTCCGAGGTAGGGACTATGATGGAGGCTCGGAGTAAGGTACGAGTGGTGTCCGAGTGCAAAGTACGGAACAGCGGTGGAAGGTCGTAACTTGGCGGAAGGGTGGCGGAGGAGTAACGGAGGGAGGAGAGAGGGGACAGGTAAGGGGAGAAGGAGTGGCGGAAAGGAGAGTAGTCAGGTCCGAAGGTGAGTATCGGAGCGGACGGGGGAAGCGTAGGAGGATAACGGGAGGGTGGAGGTGTTGTGAAGGGGGAGCGGAGTAGTAGGAGGGTGGCGAGTGGGGCAATGTTCGGTCCGGGATGAGTATCGGAGCGGACAGAGATAGGGTCGGAGAGGTAAGGGGGAGGTGTGTTTGCCAGGACCGAAGGTGAGTATCGGAACGGCAACGGTAGGTTATGACTCCGGAGGTGAAGAGGGTGGAGGTCCGGAAGTCGGGTCGGGGTCGGGTATGCACGGATATGACACATACGGTTTTTCTAAAGTCTCTGGCTAATTCCTGCGCCTTGTGCGGTTTGCCCTGAAAGACACGCTTTAGTGCGCCTGTGTTGTCTGCATATATGACGATGTGGGTGGGTTTTATGATGACGTTACCGTCATTTAGGGTACACCTGATTCCATCGGCAGCTGTTTTTAGGCCCATCATCTCTGCATCATAGGCCTCTACATGTTCGCCCATTGCTCCTTTCTCCTTGAAGACAACTTTGCCACATGAGTAGCCTACTGCACCAAAGCCTGTTTTGATTCTGCCATCTTCCTTATATTGGGATCCATCTGAGTACACGAATAGGGTGTCTGGGTCATCTTCACACTCTGCAGCGAAGTTCATGTGGTCATCGGCCCATTCTTGTTTGAATGAGTTGCCAGGGTTATTTGGTGGGGTGAAAAGTTGGATTCAGTCAGTGATGTCGTGTTCAGAGATAATGGGCTTTTGAGGAGTGGTCTAATCCTTTCTGTGCCAGGGATTATGTGATTGTCATATCTGTGCATACCTGATCCCAACCCGACTTCCGGACCTCCTCCTCCTTCACCTCCGGAGTCCTACCCTACTGCTGCCCATTCTGATACTCACCTTCGGACCTGGC